ACACTTCCTTTTCTTGTTAGTCCAGCTCCACGTTCAATACCTCTCTGGCTCCTTTGACTTTTCCCAAGATGAAACTCAGGTCTATTATTAGGATCATATGCAGAGTTATTAAATTACTCCAATGAAAATTATTTTTAATATCTTTTGTAAAGACTGTACATTTTCTGGGATGTCCTACAAGTAGCGGCCTCAGCCAGAGAAGCCACAGAAGGAGCTGGGACTTGAGTCAGTGATGGGCAGGGTGCTGGGAAGGAAGCTGGGGCAAGGCAGTGGACTCTGAGTCGGAGAGTACACTGCAGCCACCAAAGCCTACATAAAACTAAAGGAAGGGCTGAAGAGGTGAAAGAAAGAGGTCTTTTTTATTGTGAGGAGATTCCTTCATCAGAAACCAGACCAGACATCAAACACCAGGCCTTCCCTTGACTTCTGGAATTATTAAATGGATAAGAGCCAAATATAAGTGCCTCTACCAGGAAATAAAGGAAATAAAGACACAGGAAGCCAATAAAGTTATCATTTAATTTTAACAGTGCTTTTTGTTTTTAAAGATGACTTCCAATTTACAATAAGAAAGTTTTAACAAATTAATTTCTTGGTCACAAAAAAGACTCGTTCACTTCGGCCAATAAATAACATTTCCACCATTTTCTTTAACATAACCGAAAGCAAGGAAAAGCCAGTAATCTCTCAACACAAGCACATAATCTATCATTCAGAAGAGCCTTTTAAAAAATGACATCACCAGCTACTCTCCTATGTCTGACCACCTCAAGAAGCAAAACCAGGATCCTTTCTTGGAAAATGCCTGCTGACATTTCTATAAGGAAGAAATACTATTGGTCACAGTGCATTGAGAAAGGAAAAGTAAGGCGCTCATGATGGCATCTTCAAAGAGGTTCTCTGACAGACCAAAAAAATGTGTCTTTAACTGCCTCAAATCAAAACCTGCGGTAGTCCTTGTTACATGCACTTCCACTTTAACATGCAAAACAGAACACAACAAGTTATTTGGAGATAGCTATGTCAGGAAGTGAGAGGAATCTGGGCAAGAACTTACAGGAAGGCAGTGTGCATGGCCCTACTTTAGAGCTGCTCGGAGGGATGGTCCACACCCATGTCCTTGCTTCTTGATCTTAAGCCACCTTGACTTGTCATTGGGTGTAGAAGGGGAGAAGACGCATAACCCTGTCTCAGACAAAGGTGTTATTTAGCAAGCCTTGCCAAGGTTGCTGGGGCGTGAGGCCAAGGCCTCCCGGGAGGGAATATCCTCTCCAGTATCATCTTTACCTTTGTGACTGCATAGATGAAGGCAGCTAACCCTGTCCCCATTCACTCTGGCTGGCTAGACATGGGCAGGGCAGGTCACAAGTCTCAGAGTAACACAGGTTACCTCTTTCACACTGTCAATGGCACAAAGCTCTACTGTTAACACAGTACACAACTGCACAACTCAAGGATAACAACCCTGTTTTTCAACTATACACCTTTCTTCCTCTATACACATCTGCTCTCTCTTCTAGCTTTCCTATGAGCGTTTGATCACAGCAGTGCTTAAGAGGGACTGTGGCAACACAGTGCTTTGGAACTACCCTCCAGGTCATCCAGACCCTCCTCTGGCTCTTGTTGGGGCCCCCAGGCTGTCCTTTACTCCCTCTTACAGCAGACTTCGGGAAAGCTGTGGACCAGGTGCCAGCAAGGTGGTATCTATCCATTGTTATAACTACAAATGATTTACAAAATTGGAGTCTCCCCCAAAACTGGGGCTTTGGGTTCACCTTCCCTCTGAAATCATTTCTGCCTTGGTGTGAAAAACTGAATAATGCTCTGAAAAAAGACTTGGGTTCCACTGTTACTATAACAACAATAATAAATACTGGGGATTCTAGAATGATATCGTAACAAGTCTTTATGGGTTGAGGAATACATTTCAATAGAAAAACTGGAGGGGAAAAAACTGGTAATACAAAGAAAAACTATAAATTAATCAACCTGGGACAAGATCTTCATAAATGATTTTAACTTAAATGGTTAATTCTCAAGCACTTGAATTTTATCTTTATAAAGTATAGTCAAAAATTCTGGAGATCAGCTACAATATTTACATTAAACAAAGGAGGGTGGAGGGAAGTGATTTTAGCCTTACTCCTTCAGAGAGGCTGGACAAGACTCTGGAATAATGACCATGAGCAGTAAGCCCAGCTGTGTCATGTAAGCATGGTTTATAATGTTCTTCTTATAAAGGGCAGCTACTTCAAACTTTCTGTTTTAAATGACTTAGAAGAGAATCTGTGGGACAATGACAAGGCTGAAGGGCTCCAAAGCTATCTAATTTTAACCCCCCTCACCCTTGCTCCTTAATGATATTAAATAATAATATTCTGTTGACAAAACAAATGGAAGGATTTTTTTCTTTTCCTATTTTGAACAGTATCAGGAAGTCATACCTAAGTTATTAGGATAAGAAATCAGATCTTTGCTACTGACAGGACCTTGTTTCACTGAACCGCAACTGTTGTGTAGAAACAGAAAAGGCAATGTAAATATAGATAAAATTTACCAATGTTCCTGGAGAGTCTCATTTTCTATCCCTAGGCAAGGAGCCAGATCAAGCCCTTCAGAGCATGACAGTATCTTGTCACAAAAGGCCAGTGGATCAGCAATGTCTGGACCCATAACCACCAAGTGTTTGCCCTGAGGTTTTAAAAGAAACTGAGGCTGCTTTTGTTTTAGTATTCCATTAAACACACACACCCCTTGGCTTACTGGGTTGTTTTTGCTCTTAAATATTCAGAACACAGAGATTTAAAAAGGATGTATGTTCTAAACTTGTGTTAGGTGAGTTTTTAAATTTTAAAAAATGGTCACCTGATGGATTTGAATTCATATGATGTAGACATAAACACAATTGGAAAAACTGGTCCTTGGGAACTGCCATTTTAAAATGATATTTCAGTAAAGTATACAAAAGAGTCCTCCAACATGCCCAGGGAATGTTTTTTCTCTTTTTCCCCAGATGAGAGAAGTTGAAGAAAATAAGTCCCTATGGACCTTAAAGTAAAGGAGAACAAGAGAAAAGTATTTTTAGTATCTTTAGAACACGCAGGGGGACGATTTCATATAACAGAAGATGCTTTGAAAATGGGAATACTGCAGAGCTCTGACAGCAGTTAAAATGTTTGTTTGAAATGATGGCCTTAGGCAAACCCAGAACAGGCAGCCAGCCATCTTGGGAGCTACTGTTTAGATGAAAACATTCGAAAGCATGTTAAAACCCTCCAATGAAGTCTCAAGTGAAGAACAAGTCCTGGTATCACAATATATCTATATCCATATATACCCATGGTATACATACAGATATGGATATGGATATAGATATACTTCTCCAAGGCTCATGCCTTCTAAACCGCCTTGATGGGCACCTGGGTGGCTCAGTCGGTTAAGTGTCCCACTTCAGCTCAGGTCATGATCACAGTTCATGGGTTTGAGCTCTGCATCGGGCTCTGTGCTGACAGCTAGCTCAGAGCCTGAAGCCTGCTTCGGATTCTGTGTCTCCCTCTCTCTCTGAACCTCCCCTATTCATGCTGCCTCTCTCTCTATCTCTCTCAGAAATAAATAAAACATTAAAAAATTTTAAAAACCCACCTTGAGTCATAGGTGCAAATACATATGAAGTATAGACTGACAGTCTCACTTTCAGAAGCTATCTGTATCACAGAGATGTACATTTACCACACAACTTTCTCAACTGCTGAAACACACACCCCAGCTTTCTACAGAACATAAGAAACACCTTTATCTTTAGAATTCAGTAAAATTTGAATTTTCAAACCTAACTTCCTTGTTGCTTTATTTTCAGCTCTGATTTTTCTTGAATCATGACTTCTTACCCCTCTGGCTGATCCCTCAACAGCTCCCAGGGTACCCGTAAAATACATCCCCCCCACCTTTTTTTTTTTTTTTAGTATAGTCGATACACATGATACATCTCAGGTGTGCAACTCAATGATCTGACAGTAGATACATTATGCTATGTTTACCACAAGTGTAGCTACATCTGTCCTGTTACATGCTATTACAATATCACTGAGGATATTCTTTAGGTTGTGCCTTCTACTCCCATGACTTACTCATTCCATAACTGGAAGGCTATATCTCCCCTTCACCCATTTTGCCCACCTCTCACCCCCCTTGCCCTCTAGTAACCCTCAGTTGTTCTATGTATAGGTCTTTTGCCATCCCTCCGCCAAGGAAACTTGCTTTACTCTACAACTTGTTTTTGAGAAGATAATGAAGACACTTCTACATAATCATCCTTTTTACTAGTACAGTATTTTTTTGCTTATAAGGATTTGTAATAACTATTTCACCACTTGCTTGCTGACTGAAGCCCTTAAGAGTGGTTTCTTCGGGCTCTGTGCTGACTGCCAGCTCAGAGCCTGGAGCCTGTTTCAGATTCTGTGACTCCCTCTCTCTCTGACCCTCTCCTGCTCACGCTGTCTCTCTCTCTCTCCTAGAAATAAATAAAATTTTTTTTTTTTTAAAAAAAGAGTGGTTTCTTCCTGTGGATTATGTATGTGTAATAACAGCCTCAGCTAGAAGAAAAGGAGAAAGGGGTAAGGAACTCCCATCCATCAAATCTGTCATGTGGCACGACCTTCATATTAGATGAGATTTCCAAAACCGGGGTCCCTTCTATAGTCGGACTGGGGAAGGGGGAGTATGAGGCTATGCAGGTGATGAATTCCCTCTCTGAATATAAAGAAATGACAGTTGGTAAAGGGAACTACTCAAGACTTTGTCTCCCTCCTTTCACAGGTTTTACTCATAATCCAGTAAGAGGTCTTTTATCCTTCCTATCCTTTTTATTAACAGCAATCCATGCCATCAGATTCCAAGCCCAAAATAGTTTGATCTGTCATAAACTGGGAACTGTTAGCAAAAGGTACAGGGAAACAGAGATAGATGGGCTAAATCCTCATTCTTCTAGTCAAATTATGGGTTTTTGTTTTGTTTTTTTAGAAAGGTTTCTGGTGTCCTTTAAGCTTACAACATTAAGTACTACTCTCTCAGGTGCTTGCTTCAATGCTGGACTTCTACATCCCAAATGATATTAAGAATTGTGTAAATGTGCACTTTGGTGTAGTATTGCCCAGGCATGGACACTCACTGCAAAGCTGAAGGATGAGTATTATGCCATGGCACCTGTCACCAGGCTAAACCAAAAATGGGAGCCCAAGGATCACTGAAATTTCTTTCACTCACTGGTGTTACTTGAAAAACTAAGAGAAGACTATTCAAACGCTCTATGTGAACACTTGTTTTTGTCTTCCAAGATATGTTGATGGAGACTGACATACAGTTCAACCTAATGAGTGTTTAAGGTGGAGAAACATCTCAGTAATTCATACAGAAAATAGGAAATCCTTACTCATCCAAAGCCCTTTAGCAAGACTTCAGTTCATAAGGGGATCATTCTACCCTAGTCAGTTTCGTTTACCCCAGTTGGTTTTTAAATTGCTGCCACAGGAAAACAAGGACAATGGGGAGAACAGACACAATAGCTGATACAATGGCATAGAAGGACACAAATATCTCTTACTGTCGAAAGTTCTACAGAGGACATTTATAAAATATTTAGAAATGTAGCTTCCTTTGCACTTGGGTAAATCACCTGGGCTTCAAAACTGAAAGAAAAAGGATCTGCAAACAGTTAAGAAACCTCCAAAATTCTAAGGGGAATTTAAACCAACCATGCCCATGGTTGGAAGAACAGATTTTGAGTAATTCTCAGAAAATCTCTCATTGGTTTCTATTTTGTCTTACTAGAACATATTAGAACATATTCAAAGGAATTGAGAGTCCAGAAGAAAGTAGGTTATATGGAAAACATTCCTTGGCCCTCAAAATCACTGGGTTTGGGTTATTTACTTAGATGTTTGACTATAATCAAGTTTTCCATAAGAAGAGAAGTTTTAGCCAGTGAAATCCAAGCAATCTTCTTCAATAGTACCCTGTAGAAAGGGAAAAGAAAAAAACCCTCTTGTGTTTGAAAAACTATTATTAGTCTGAAATGAAAGATATCACCTTTCAAAAGAATAGGAGAAAAAGCTGGCTAGTTCAAGTCAGAAGCCCAGGGTGGAGGTTTCCAAGGCCCTTTTATTAGGGGAAGGTCCCCTTTGTAGTACTTCACATATGTATCAGACAATCAGATCAGTTCCTAAAAATTAGGAAGGGAAAAACAAAACAAATGCACTTTTTATATATATTAAACATAAATTAAAAACAATTTATAAAATGGTCACCTTTCTTACAGCATAAATGCAAAGTGTATATGAATGCACCTCCAGGTTTAAGTTGTTTAAGTTGTTTTGTTTTCCAATAATAAATAAAATTTGTTCTTAAGTTTTGGATCCACCTGTGCCACAGCAGGGCTCTGTGTCATTGTTGGCTCTTCTCGCCCTGTCGCTCCTGTGTGCAGTGTTGGACTGTGCCAGCAATCTCATTGGCCCATCAGGGTACTGGCTGTCTTTTCGGGGTGGCATCCGTTCGTTAATTCGGTCCAGTCCTCGGGCTTCTTCAAAACTCCGGATCCTATGCTGAAGCGAAAACCCTCTGATGGCTACAGGAAAACAGGAAAGGGAGGAGCTCAGTTAGGCAGCAAAGCAACAATCTTAAAGCATTTTAGCACACAGCAGCCTCCTAGAGAGCGCCACACAGGGTTGGAGCACACATCTGGTGAGGGTAATAGGCAATCTGTGATCTGAATCAGACTGGTCTGAAGCTACTGCTTCCTTCGGGCCCAGAGGGCAGCTGAAACTGTGAAAGTACCTTTCACAGAAGCCCTGTGTAATTAATTGGCAGAAGCACACCTGACAAATGGCTAACAGGTTCGTTCTTAACCACAATACATTAGAGAAAGGGTTTCTTATGGGTCTAAAACATGCTTAATGTCAGAAAAAAAGGCAACACTAGAATAGTAGAGCAAGTTAAACAGAGTAGTTAACTTTAGCACAAACACTGTACTGGCCACAAAAAAAGTAATAATAAGAGCTCATCTTTTTGTTTGGAAGGACAGCTTTTTGTCTTGCACAACCAGGAGCTGAACATAAGTTAAAAGCCATCTAAAAAGAGCTTCTGGAGATCTTCCTTCTAATCAAACTTTTGTATCACCAAGAAAAGGCATTCCCATTTTGAATTCTCTTACTTAACAGAACAATTAAATTTATAAAACGTTTATCAGTTCCTAAGATTTCCATTGTCAGATTCATAGATGATTTGTTACTTGCACCTGGGCACCTGGGTGGCTCAGTCGATTGATTTCAGCTCAGGTCATGATCTCAAGGTTCATTAGATCGAGCCCTGCATCAGGCTCTGTGCTGTCACTGCAGAGCCTACTTGGAATTCTCTCTCTCCTCTTTCTCTGCTTCTACCCCACCTCTCTCAAAAATAAAGAAATAAACATTTTACAAAAATAGAAAAACAAAAACTGATAGAGCCCAGAGAGGTTTTTAGCTGTGGAGAGGGTCATTTAAATTAACACAAGTAGAGGACACAAAGGAAACACTCTGTGAGCATGCGTAGAAATGCTTATTCCTTTCCTCACTGTTACAGTCCTGGTGATGCAATAATAGAAGATTTCAAATGTTGACACAGCTCTTTAAAACTAGTAGACAGACATATGATCACATCTAACACAGGAATATGGCCATACCTTCCCGGGCCTCTACCGCTTCTACTGTGGCTGTAAGAGGCAGGAGCAGTGGCATGCAAAAATGAAGACAGAAAAAGAGTGAGTAAACCAACAGCATTGCTGCCAGGATAGACATCCCAGGCTCCCACCTCAGCCTATTCCCACCGGTAACAACAGTCAACTAGAGAAGCGAGGGATTGCTGTGAGAAACTGAATTGCGGGGAAATGTGAGGTGGGGAGAGGGCCTATTATTTCTGACATTTCAGGTGGCTCGGGAACCTTTTTAACTGATGGCATCTACAGCTAAGATAATGGGTCAGTCTAGCTGACTATAAGAAACCAAGAATTTTGTTGCTTTCCTTATTTCAAATAGCCAGCTGCTAATTTACGTCTTGACATTCACATATCAAAATAGCTTGAGTCAAATAATTTAACATTACAATTGTTCTTTAGTTGCTAACAGCTCAGATGGTATTAAATGAGCTGTTGCTGGAACAGTTATTTAAAACTACTCCCTACTGCTCTTAAGCAATTTCTGTGGGGTCCAACTGTCCTTTTTAATTACTTAATAAAAAAATGAATGGCCTCTGAATACAGACGAGCATTTGGAAGGAATGTGGGTTATAAGTGAGTGGTTATTTCTTGTCCTAGGGGTGGAGTACTAAGCTGGCAAAGGCATAAAACTGCTCAATCCCGGATACAAATTCACCTGCCATCTGGGATTAGAGATACAGCAGAAGCTGACATTTCCAACCCATACGGCTTCCATTCACTGTGTACAAGAGCAGGCCAATTACTAAGGCCCTCTTCCCCTTCGGTGATGGAAAAGGAAGCAATTTAAAAATTAGTGCCAACAGGTAAGTTTCCTAGCACCATCCTTTTAAAACAGTTAAAAACTCTACTATATGAAAAGGTTACAGGTTGTAGCAAGAAAGATCCTACTAGAAGAACCCTCTCAGTTCCTCCAGTACCAATTTTAAAAAGAAGTCAGGAAAGAATAATGAACAGTAACAGTCTGCTGTTCCTGAGGTTTTATGTATCAACAAGAGAGGAGAAACTGGAAGAACTGACAGTTAGCTTCCTATCATAATGTGAAAAATGGAAACTTGGAATCAATTCATCAAGTGCTTAAATATGTCAACCATTTGTAGGCCTGTGGTAAAGCAATGTCACACCGTCCCTAATCTCCTCAAATAGAAGAAATAAACTTTCACAAGAAAATGACAGTGCCTTCAAACAGTACATCACTGAACTGATGAACCAAGTGCAGCCTGAAACTGTATACAGATTGTTGGTCTAATTACAGTGAAAAGGTATGTGGTAAAATGTGTACTAGTATTACACTGTTCTGGGTCCTCCTAGAGCTGCTTTTTGCAGCTTTTTGGGTATTAAGATGCTAGCCTGCATTATAAGAAATAGTCCCATAAAACTGAGAAACTGATTTACTTATTTATTTATATTTAATTTATATATTTTATTATATTTATTGAAATTTTATTTGTTGAAATATATTTCCTTACTGAAATATAATTCATACACCATAAAATACACTTGTTTAAAGTGTACAATTTGATGATTTGATATAGAGTTGTACAACCAACATGACAGTCCATGGTTAGAACATTTTCATCACCCCAAAAAGAAACGTATTTACGTCCCGCCTCCCTTCCCCTGATCCTAGAGCCAACCAATAATCTACTTTCTGCCTCTACAGATTTGCCTATTCTGGACATTTCATATAAAAGGAATAACACAACATGTGACTTTAGTGACTGGCTCCTTTCATTTGGTCTAATATTTTCAAGGTTTATTCATGTTGAAGCATGCATCAGTATTTCATTCCTTTTTATGCCTGAATAGTATTCTGTGACTGTCCACCTCATCAGGTGATAGGCAACTGGGCTGTTTCCACTTATTGGCTCTAATGAAAAATGCTGCTTTGGGGCACCTGGGTGGCTCAGTCAGTGGAGCATCTGACTTTCACTCAGGTCATGATCTCACGGTTCATGAGTTCAAACCCCACATCGGGCTCACTGCTGACCGCACAAAGCCTGCTTTGGATCTTCTGTCCCCCTCTCTCTCTCTGCCCTTCCCGCACTTGCACTTTCTCTCTCTCTCAAAAATAAATAAAACATTAAAAAAATTAAAAGAAACAAAAAAGCTGCTGTGAACATTTGTGTACAAGTCTTTGCGTGAGTATGTTTTCACTTCTCTGAGGTATTTAACTACAAGTAACGGCTGGTCATAAGGTCAAGCATATGTTTGATCATCCAAAGAACTCCCAGATTGGTTTCCAAAGTGCCACATCATTTCATATTTCCACTAGTGGCGTATGAAGGTCCAAATTTCTTCACATCCTCACCAAAACTTGTTATTATCCTACTGGGTGTAAAGTGGCATTAACTGTGGTTTTGATTTGTATTTCCTTAATGTCTCATGATGTTGAACAACTTTTCACATGCCTGTTGGCCATTTGTATGTCTTTGGGAAAATGTCTATTCAACTTTTTTGCTCATTTTTAAATTGAGTTATTTGTCTTTTTATTATTCAATTATAAGAGTTCTTTATATTCTTTAGATAGCAGTCCCTTATCAAATGCATGATTTGTAAATATTTTCACTCATTCTATGGCTGGTCTTTTCACTTTCTTGATGATGGCTCAGTTTGTAGCACAAACATTAATTCTGACACAGTCCAATTTATAACTGATCTGGCTTTTATTTTATGGTCTTTGTGAATCTTGTTCAATTCTTGGCACTCCTCTTTATTTTGTAAGCTTGTAGTAAAAGTTGTGGCTCTCTATTGAGTTGTTTTGTTTTGTTTTCCTTTGGGTTCCAAATTCTCAGCTTCTTTCCTTTCCTTTACTTCCCTGTATTATATGTGTACTGTAACTTACTCCAATCCCTTGTGGAACAAGGTAAGACATAAATGAATGTGTGCTATTAAGGCCATATGGGATAGTTTGGTTGAAAGGTCTCCAAGTAAAGTTATGGCAACAGTAGGGTGAGGGAGAGGGGAAAATGAGTGATGGGCATTGCGGAGGGCACTTGTTGGGATGAGCACTGGGTGTTATATGTAAGCGATGAATCATGGGAACGTATCCCCAAAACCAGGAGCACACAGTACACACTGTATGTTAGCCAACTTGACAATAAATTATATTAAAACATAAAATAAAATAATATCAGGTTAATAATTTTTAAAAAGTTACAAGAACAATAAAAGGTCTTTTTTAGCTAATGCTCCCGTTTGCCAATGAACCTACAGATCTGAGATTCTGACGAGAAAATGACAAAATAAATTCCGTTCCTGTCAGTCAGTAAGAGAGATAAGGAACTCTAAAAAGTTGGCTCCACCTTTAGTTCTGTTCTTATACATTCCTGAAGATGTCCATCAATTTCAAAAGTATCAACAAAAAACCCTATTTGATTAAAACACTAATATTCCAATTAGGAATGAAGAGAAACAATATACTTGGGACTGAGAACAGAAAGCAGATCAAAGATTATAAACAAATCTCCAAATGACATGTCTACAAAATTCTCTTCATTATTCATCTCTGATTTGCTCTTTCAAGGTCTAGATTAAAACAACAACTTTGTGGATCAGCAAGTTTCCAAAACTTTTCAAGTAAGGATGTAGAAGACACTCCCTTTTTCTTCACCCCTGGTGTTTCCGACTAATTCCAACCTACCTGTCAGAACTGCTCTGGGAGCAGCTCACCTGACTAATTACCAAAGTAACGGTGGGTAGTATTTTCCCTTACAAGAAACTGCACATTTATTTGAGAGAAAAAATTCAACCTGAAATAGTTTACTGATCCTTTCTATGAAACTAGTGAAATTAAGAAAATTAGTTATATACTTCCAAGGAGAAAATGTTCATTCCTCCTAAATAGCTAAACTCTAACATTTCAGTATTTAATCTGAAAGAGGAGAAAATCAATCCTATAAAAAGAAAGGGGAAATGGGGGCTTGTTCCTAGTAATCAATATAAGTGGACTTTCCACAAAATGTAAAGGATTCTTTTAAGTAATGGGACAAGAAAAACTTAAATAGAAACAATTCAGTAAAACAAGAGGGCAAAAAGCAGTGAAACTCTAGTTTAAGTTGCTAATGCTTCAACTCCAGTTTTTGTGCCTGGAATTAATGGTCTTGCTTGAGCAGATCTGTGTCTGTTCTGACAAACATCGATAACTCTTCATTCCAAGGTTCCATACAGCTCTCTCCTTAGAATCCAGCATCCACACACTTTTTAGAACAGACACTCTGATGGATAGGTGACTGTGGCAGTGGAGTAGAATATAGCTTACAGGCAGAGGCAAACATCCTCTCTGAGACATTCTAACACCCAAAACTTAAGGTATGAAACATACATTAGATGAGGCATATCATGTGCACAAATCTGAAGTGTATGGCTCTATAAGTTTTTATGTACAAATACACTTGTGTAACTACTACCCAGAGAGTGATACAGGCACCACCCCCACTTCTCCAGAAGTCCCCTCTGCTCCTAAGGGTCAATTAGTCTCCCACCAGAGGAAGTGCCATTCTGACCTCTATTAACATTTGGCTAGTTTGCCTATTCTTGAATATACTATAAATTAGACAGTCTGTGCCATTTTGTGCCTAGCTTTTTGAGTTTACCATGTCTGTGACGTTCAACCGTGTCTTTGCATGTATTTGTAATGTGATTTTTAATTGCTGTGTAGTATTCCACTGGATAAACAGACCACATTTATCTATTCTACTATCGCTGAACATTTGGGTTGCTTCTTGTTTGGGGCTATTATGACTAAAGCCACAGTGAACATCTGTATGCATATCCTTTGGAGGACATATGCGTGCACTCTCTTCAATATATACCATGTCTTATTGCTGGGTTACAGGGTAGGACATGTTTTTGCCCAACACTTTTCCAAAGTGGCTGAATCGATTTACAAATACACCAACAACGTATCTAGTTCTATTATCCACAAAATTCACCAACACTTGGTGTTATTAGACTTTTAATTTTAGCCATTCTGGTGAATGTGTAGCAGCATCTCACTGCGGTTTTCATATCTATTTCCCAGATGAGTAACCTTATTAAGGATCTTTTCATATGCTCATTGGACATTTTGATATCCTCTTCTGTGAAGTGCCTGTTAAAATCTTTTGACATTAAAAACATTAGTTGTGTTTTTCTTATGGAGTTTGTAGTTCTTCATATATTCTGAATTCAAGCCCGTTGTCAGACATACATATTGCAAAAAAAATCTTCTCTCAGTTAATGGCCTGCCTTTTCCCTTTCTTAATCATATATATTTGTAAATAGAAATTCTTAGTTTTTTTTAATTCTTAGCTTTATGAAATTTAATTGATTTTTTTTCTTTTAAGGTTAGTATTTTTTGTGTCCTATTTAAGGACTTTTTATCTACTCCAATACTCTCCATACTTTCTTCCAGGAGTTTTATTGTTTTTTATGTTTCATATTTAAGTTCATTCATTTTGAATTAATTTTCATGTAAGGAGAGAAGAGTCAAGATTCGCTTTTCTCTCAGATGGATGCCGGATTGCTCCATTATCATTTCTTGAAAGAAGCCCTAATTTTAAATTGTATGTTGACTGCTGGGTAATGGGACCACATCTTCCATGAAGCCCGTATTGCTCAGACTCACCTGTCTCAATAGTCTGCTTTCCTCCTGAGAGGACACCTAGAGGGAGTGTCCCTGTGGGTGTCAGGCCCTTGAGAGTCAGCACACTCTCACTCTCTTCCCTGCAAAGGAAGGTGAAAGTCCTGCATTAATGCCCGGTGTCTACCACTCAGCAGTTCAAAGATATTAGAAGGAAGTTAAGAAAAGATGCACAGAGATGGAGGACAGTTTTCCTTCTTCCTACCCCTTCCCTGACCTAAAAAACAGATGTTTTATGTAAATATTCTAATTTTAAACAACCAGCCAGTTCTTGCTTTTCAGTTACAGGTACTTAATAGCCAGACACTGTTTTCATGTTTCCCATATACCATCCCATTGAATCCTCCTAATAACTGTGTAAGGCAGGTCTTATTATCACTTTATTATAGACAAGGAAATTGAGGCTCCAAACTATACAGCTAAAAAAGAGGTAGAGCCAGGATGTGAACACAGGCAATCTGGATCCAGGAATTCGCACTAAATCACTCCATTCACTATATGTAAGCTTATACCAAAGGAATGTTTGCCAAAACATTTCTAGTCACTTTAACATACAGGTCAGATTCAATCTCCACTCAGCTCTGAAGTCCTATCCAATCATACTAAACTTTAATTCTAAAAAACTTTTCTGAAATCAACTTCTGATTTTCTCTCAAAATACTTTTATCTCACACTGTAATGACAGATTCATCCTCACCGCAGAATTGAAAAGACCCGTGCCATCTTCCCAATGGCTCTGATTTTATTCTTGATGATCTCCTTTCGAACTGTAGTGCCTCCTTAAAGAATACAAAGAATAAGCGAGTTAAAAGAATGTGTTAACAAGGTTAGTTGTTAACCATGCAGGATGAAGTACCTTTCTAAGTTAAAGAAATTATTGTTTTTAAAAAAGAAATCAAGGCCTAAGTTTGTTTAAACAAACAAAAATCCCAGGAAGTTCTAAGGAGCAAGAGAGAAAACAACCCAAAAGAAGGGGGAAAAAAAGATGGAAGTAACAATGGAGGGGTCACAACACAGACAGAGTGAATGGATCTATGAAAGGTAGGAACTTATTTGTGGTTCCGAAATGTAGAACACAGCAAAGAATGAAATATACACATATAAACTAAGACAGTTGCTACAGCAAAGATCTCTTTTGAGAATGCTGTGGGCCACCTTAGGATGCAGGCTTTGGCCTGCCAAATGGCAAGTGATGATTCAAGCACTTGTCTCCTGCATATATACAGCTAGCTCTCCTGAACTTAGTGAGGGCTACTTTCATTCTATAATCCTCACTTACTCACAGACTGGTGAGTTATTTCCTACCATAGACAACTGTGTGGTACAAATTATGATGATGGGTAAGGTCTTTATAAAGCAACACCAAAAAAGTCACAACATTTTACAGCCTTTTCCCATCTAAGATTCAGGAAACAGCTCACGTATGAGAAGCCAAGGTCCAGGCATGCACCAGGTGACCACATTCAAAAGTCAGAAAGAGAAACATGGTCTCTCCTTCCTCACCCCTCCAGCTCTCAATATCCTGCCGAATTATACAGCAGGTCCAGAGAAAACACTTACATTAAAACAGAAAGGGAGGATGGAGAGCCTGTCTGAAATTACTCAACTACAACTAATAAAAAGGTCTAATGAAATTAATAAACTGTGTGTGACAGACAGCAAGTATTAAGCTCTTAGCACATTTTAGTCGGATACCTTTCCGATAGCTTGAAATGTAGTGATCTTCAGGGAGAAGAGACACCAAGAAACAAGGAGATGAAGATAGAAATATGAGAAGAGAAATTTTTTACATGGAAGAGAGAAAAAAAAAATCAAAGTGAAATGCAATGAGAGAAGCAAGCTACTTTATCAGCTCAGAAGAGACATCCTTGGTATCATGATAGAATATTAAATTATAAATTTCTTGTCAGCAGTTTTCCATTTCTTAAAGTTTTTACGTTTACTTTAACTCACATCTATTATTACCTGACATATCCTATCCCCACAATCATGAAAATAAATTTGACAAAGAAAAATATATTATTTGGGAAACAAACAATGCTGAAAACAAGGGACAAAAAACAAAGGACAGAATGAATAGCCTACAAATCTCTTAATAAGAGCAATATGTTTTTGTTTAATGGATTCACTATCTTCCTATATCTTTTTGGAGATATTATAGTTTTTCCTTTTTTAAGAAGTTTTATATGTTCTTAAGAATCTTAAGTTCATTCACATTGCTTTTTGCTGTTTGTGTTGTTTGACTCTTCAAGATGTTCCTGAGGTGGATGGTAATCCTTGGTGTCTGCTCATGATTAAAATGAGGGCCTAAAAGACTCTGAGAGTTGCCGGACAGACTGCAGACTTGGAGCTTCACCAGCTGTGATCAGGGTAGGCCTCTGTTAGGCAATTCTCTTTATCAGTATTGAGGATGCACACGGCCGCTTAATTCACTGGTTTCGGGCAAGGTAATGATGTCCACAGTTGTATTCCTAGTCCAGAATTCTTGGGTTTACACTTTTTAAAAAATTTTTAATTAAAAAAAATTTGTTAATGTTTATTTATTCTTGAGGGAGAGAGAGACAGAGTGTGAGTGGGGGAGGGTCAAAGAGAGAGGGAGACACAATCTGAAGCAGGCTCCGGGCTCTGAGCTGTCAGCACAGAGTTCAACGCAGGGCTCGAACTCACAAGCCACAAGATCATGACCCGAGCCAAAGTCAGACAGTCAACCAACTGAGCCACCCAGCTGCCCCTACACTTTTTTTTAGAGACTAGGCTTCAGACCTAGAGGAGAAGCAATTGCCCAGTGGCAACTAGGGTGGTAACTGCCTTTTAAATAGCTTCCAGCTAGTCTTATTTTGGCTTAGTGCCCATCCCCTTACTCCCTTAACCCACAGTCCCCAATTCTAGAAACTGGTACTACCAATTTCTTTGCTCTTTGAGGCTTCTGTGCTGAAATTCAGTATTCCACATAACTTTAGCTTTCTTGAATTAGCTAAGTGAGGAACACTAATTCATTTGTTTCCTAGCTTCTAAAAATTCCTACAAAAATCTCTGCATTTTTGTAGCTTTATCACTTTTTGTTAACCTTTTTTATTGTGAGGTATGATAAACATACAGAAAAGTACACAAAACAAATGTAAAATGTCTCTCTCTCCCCAAAGAAAATCATTCTCTTGACCTTTATTGAAATCACTTTCTTGCTGTTCTTTATAGTTTTAGCATGTAAGCGTGTGGGTATCCACAAGCACTATGGCTTTCATTGTTTTTGAACTTTCTGTAATTGGAACAATCAAAGTATGTATTTTTGTGTATGGCTTCTTTTGCTCAACATTATGTTTGTAAGATTGATCCATGCTTTGCCCATTGTAGTTCACCGTCATTACTGTGTACAGTTCCACCATATGAATGTGCCACAATTTTCCTTTTTATCATCAGTGGTTATTTGGTCTAATTCCAATTTTTGGCTATTGTGAATTCAACTGCTATGAATATTCCTAAGCATTTCTGTTTGCTATTTCTGTTAGGTCTATTCCTAGAATTAGAACGCTCAGTTACAGGGTACGTATATGTTCAACTTTGGACAAGTTAGACATTATCTACTACAGTGGACGTACAAAGTTATATTTCAGTGTATGAGCATTCCTGCAGCTATACGTCCAGGCCAGCACTTGGTGTCATCTTTAATTCATCTTTAATTTTAGCCAATCTGATGGGTATGTAGAATCATCCAGTGTGGTTTTATTTTGCATTTTCACAATTACTAATGTGGATGGATATCTTTTCATATCTTTACAGGCCATTGTGATATTCTCTTTTGTGAAGTGCTTGTTCAAGTCTTGTCCAACTGATCTGGATGGAGTTCTTCATATATTCTGCAAGCGAGCCCTTTGTTGACTATGTTGCAAATACTCTCCCACTCTGCACCTTGACTTTTCACACTCCTAATAGGGTCTTTTGATAAATACAAGTTCTTACTTTTAATGTAGTCCAACTTAACAATAGTTTCTGTATGGTAAGTGCTTTTTGTGTCCTGTATTTAAGAAATTGCCCTCTACCCCAAGGTCATGAAGATATTTTTGTATTATAAATACTAGAGGCTTTATTGTTTTGCCTTTCATATATGAAGGTATTAATCCATCTGGAATTTATTTTGTGTTTGAAATAGGATAAGGGTCAGGTTTAGTTTTTTCCCAGATATCCCCAAAACACTTATTGAAAAACACCATCATTTCCCCTTTACTCTGCAGGACCACCTCCGGTGTAAATCAAGTGTCCACAAATGGTGCAATTTTTCTGGATTCTCTATTCTGTTTCAGTGATCATCTGTCCTTGCACTAATAATTCTAATTACTCTAGCTTTATAGTAAACCTTGATATGTAGATCAAGCCCTCCCACCTTGTTCCTCTTCAAGACTTAAACTATTTCCACACTAATTTTAGAACCTATCCTTAGCATTTTCATACAAATTTTAGAATCTATCCTCAGTATTTACATATGAATTTTAGAATCAAATGGTCTATTAATAGTTGACTTCATACTGAATCCACAGGTATATTATTTGGGAATAACACAGCTTTACAATATTGAGTTTTCCAAAAATCAACATACATTTTATTTCTTTCCATTTATTTAGATCTCCTTTAATTTCTCTAATTATGTTTTATAGTTTGTTGCTTAGAGGTATCACACACCACCTGGTAGATTGTTAGGGATGATATTGTAAATGGCATCTTTTATTAAAATTTCATTTTGTTTGTTGGTGGTAATAGAAACACACAAATGACTTTTGCTTATTAACTTTGTATCCAGCAGCTACATGCACTTGTTGATTTTAATAATCTATAAATTCTTTTGAATTTTCTCTGCATACAATCATATCACCAATAAATAACGATGGCTTTGTTTCTCTCTTTCCAATCTTTATATCCTATGTTGCTTTTTCTTGCCTTCTTATATTGGGTATAACTTCTAATGTGATATTGTATGGAGGTATTAATAACTGGCATCCTTATCTGTTCCCAATCACTAAGGAGAGCTTTCAACATCTTGACATATGAGGTTTGCAATAGGCTTTTATAAATGTTTGTTAAAGAATTCCTCTCTAAGCCTAGATTAATAGATCTATTACAAAAGAAGGATGAATCTTACTTAAAGCTGTCTCTACATCTACTATGATTTTTCTTTTCTTAATGCAGTGAATTATACTGATTTTTTTAAATAAAAATTAAAAAAACTTTTCTTAATGTTTTATTTATTTCTGAGAGAGACAGAGAGACAGACACAGCATGAGCAGGGGAGGGTCAGAGAGAGAGGGAGACACAGAATCTGAAACAGGCTCCAGGCTCTGAGCTAGCTGTCAGCACAGAGCCCGACGCAGGGCTCGAACCCACGAACCGTGAGATCATGACCTGAGCCGAAGTCAGACGCTTAACTGACTAAGTCACCCAGGCACCCAAAATTTTTTATTTTAGAATAGTTTTAGATGTTAGCAAAGTTGTGAAGATTACAGAGTTCTCATACACCCCTCTCGCAACTTCCACTATTATTAAGATCTTACATTAGTGTATACTGATTAAATTTTGAATGTCAAATCTTCCAACATTTCTGGAGTAAATCAACTTGGCTGGGGGGCAGAATACTTTTACGTATATTGCTAGTTTCAATTTGATGATGCTTTGTTTAGGATTAATGTCCTTTCACATTTTAGTATCATAGTTATACTAGCTTCACTAAATTACTTGGGAGCATTTCTTCTTTTTCTCAGGAAGAATTTGTGTAAGATTGGTGTTTCTTTCT